ATATATATATATATATATATCTATATTATTTAACAAAAAAATAGGAAATATTTTCGTAACGCGCAAAACTGTACAATTTTCGGATCATCGTAACATAAAAAAACGGTGAAAACCTTTTGTTGCGGACAAAAGATAAAAAAGTATTTTAAAGATAAAAAAAAGCATTTTAAAGCATTTATACTTTACTTTTGATCGTTTTTAAAAAAATTTTTACAGTTATGTGTTTTAACAAAGATCACCCTATTATGTTACTTAAAATTACGTGCGTTTAATAGTTTGCAGCACAGTAAAAAAATTATTTTTTTAATTTTAATATGTTTACAAAAAAGTGCAAAGTTTTACATATAAAATTCTTTTTTAAAAATTTTGTATGATTTTTTTTTACGTGACTTTGAAGTTAAACCTGCATTTCTTATATTCATCGTTGAAATTCGGCGCAAAAAAGTCATCGCAAAAATATTTGTATTATCTCTCATACACACACTCACGCGCGCGCGCGCGTGTACAGAAATCAATCTATATTATTTTCTGTGCATATTTAAGCTATGAAGTAAATATCAAGAAAGGATTATTTTAAACTTTCCGTTAATGTTTGATAAACATCTTGGCATTATATTTGCTTTAGGAATTATCTAATTGGTATCATAAATTTTGAATCGATCTAAGAGATTAGACCTTGACACTGCCCACCGCATATCCGCACGTTAATATACATTATACAAGATAAGACATGAGTTATTCGTAAAATGTTGACACAATATTTTTTATATATTCTCTTATGAGTCTAATGTGTGTATATCTCAAATAAACCTACCGCACCCCTGATGTCTCGACGGAAGCTAAATCAGAGTTGCAGATCACCTTGGCCAGAAAAAGCAAATATGCACGTGATTTCAAGAGAAATCTAGATTATAACTGTCAGTCAATGAGTTATTTTTATTTCAAGTATATAGACACATAATATCGGTCCTTGATAAATATTTTAAAATAATATTTTTTTAAATAAATACCTACTAAATAATGAAAAGAAAGGAACAAAAAGATTATAATGTGAAGTCGTACTGATTAATGAATACTTCTGGTGAATTTTCATCCAAGTGTTTTTTAAGTTTAGTATAATTTGTTAGTAAAATTTAGCTAGTTTAAAATAACATTTATTAAAATTGTTTAACATTAAAGTTTATTTTTTACATTAAAATAATGTTAATTTAATTATTCTAACATTTTGCAATTCATATTATATATAAAACAGACATATAAATAGCGTAAAAAATTTTTTAAATATATGAATTTTAAATATATGAATGAATTTTCACATAGCATAATATGTTAAATAAGAAAAATATAATATAGTATTCCAGAATTATATATAAGAATTATGTATATATACTTATATTTTTCTTATTTAACACATTATAAAAGAGTGGGCTTAATTATCAATTTTTAAAAGCGAGATTTTACTCTTTAGAATTACATTTCACTTCAAAGATTTTAGAGAATAATTCTGGAATTATTTTTCTAACATTGCGCGTCTTTTATATATATATATATATATATAGTATGTATATATGTATATACAGTGAGAGCAAAAAGTATTCGTACAAGGAAATTTTTTATAAAAAAAATCTTATTTGTAAAAAATAAACATTAATTAGCAATTTTATACAATGAATATACTCTGTTCTAACATAAACAAACGCGCTAACATAAACATGTATTTCCTGATTTTAGAAGCTAAATTTCTCAACTGTACGAACATTTTTTGAACATTCAAACAATACAATTTTTAATTTTCGCTAATTTTTTAGGTGATATATTCTCTATGATTAATACACATCTTTTTGGTACATACAATTTTAATCTTTATGAATTTCTATTTTATTCTTTATGAATAAATTGTTAATTATCCAACAAGAAATGATCGCCAATTAAACGTCGAATCGACTTCAAATTGATGTAGAAATCATCGTATCGATATCGATTCGACATCAGTTCGATGACTCATCTTTCGCTGGATAATATTTATTTTTTAAAAATAAAGTTTTTTTAAAAAAAACATTTTATCCGTACAAATACTTTTTGCACTCATTTATATATATATAAAATTCCTGAATAAATATTCTCTAAAATCTTTGGAGTGAAATGTAACTCTAAAGAGTAAAATCTCATTCTTAAAAATTAACAATTAAGTCACTTTTTGTCAACAATGATTCAATTGCCGCTCTTTGTCATTCTTTAAAATTATATTCCTCGTTAAAGATTTCAAAGAGTATATACACATATATTAAAAACTATTTAAAAAAATATATTATAATAATAACTGCAAAAGAAAAAATGTCGAATGTTCAATCTCAAATTTGAACTTGATAGTTCGAAAGGATCGCACAGATTAAAAAAAAAGCAAATGGCAAAATTTATCCCTTTTTCTCAATCCCTTTAGCCAAATTTTCGAGTAACGAAGTTGCTTATATATGTCTATAATGATTCGTTTCCGTTTCAGCGCAAGCTCCTCGATGTCAGCCTGGGGTTCGCCGCTGGCGTGATGACGGCCGCGAGTTACTGGTCATTGTTGGCACCGGCGATCGAAATGGCAGCCGAGAGCAAGATGTATGGAGCGGAGGGCGAGTACGCGTTCGTGCCGGTCGCAGTTGGGTTTCTCGTCGGCGCGGCGTTCGTATACGGGACGGACGTGTTGATATCCACCCTCGGCCTTCAGTCCCCCAATGTGCTTTTAGCTATGCAATCAGTCGGTACGAAACAAAGACGCAAGATCATTGCGAAACTAAAGAGTGACGAGGATTTAGACGATGATTATGATCCGTTACTTAACAACGTACAAATACCCGGCGGAAAAATGTACGCTCGTGTCGAATCGACCGCTATCGATGGTATCTCATTTTCTTCTCGTAAAATCGCAATTTTTTTTTATGTCTCTCTCTTTTATAGGCTTGGAAAATGGGATCAGTTCGTGAGATGACACGTATATACTGTACATATATGCCTATATTTTTGCATACCCTTACAAAAATTTTTCACCGTTTTACATATCACATGGACCATTTTTAGCCCGTTTTTAGCCGTCTTGCACTAGCATCGTCTCGAGCATTTGCAGTGTATGGCAAAGGAACGATGACAAATATACACGAATATACGTATAAGTATTTTGAGGAGATTATCCGTTTTCAATACTCGTTTTTTTGCTGATGAACGACAACGTATATGCGAGTATGCGTATAAATATTTTTTAGTATATTTCCCGTTTTTAATATTTGTTTTTTAGCCGATGAATATTTTTGAGAACAATCAGCTTCGTTCAATATGAAACGTAGTTAAAAAGTCATGCATTTACTTATAAAAAATAATACAGGAACATAAAAGCCAATTCGCAGGATGTACGTGCAACTATATGTATTAAACAATTCTTGTGTACATAAAACAATATACTTTTAAGTATAACTAAATATTTTGTATTTCTAATTCTTTTTATAATAGTAGATAGTGTAACATTTTAATTAGTATAATTTATTTATCTTAAACATATACGGTACTTGATAAATTAAATTTTCGATAAGTGCGGCATACTAGTTACCCTAATGATCACTTATTATTGTATGTTACGGACAAAGTCCGCATAGTAGGCAGTGTTGATATTGCCCGAGTTGCTTGCTATATATAATAGATCTGTTCTTTTTTGAAGAATTCTGGATTAGTTCTGAATTAGTGCAATAAGTTAGAGTGAAACAAATTATACCTGTCTCACTCTAACTTATACATTAGTGTATACCAATTCAGAATTTGGGGAGGAAAAAGAACAAATCTAATGTTAACATTACCTTATTATAAGAGATACTATTAAGGGGGATTTCATCTTTGCTAGCCGTAAAATTAGCTCAATTTTATGAATTTTTTAAAGAAAATTTATTATATATGGGATTTTACATAAAATTATGTTATGCTTAAACAGTAAAAAAATATTTTTATAAAAATGGTAGCATTAAAAAAAATTAAGTTTTTTCCTAAAAAAATTTATTTTTTGTGAATAACAAATCGAATGTTGTTGTAAAATCATGATTATAGTTTGTGCCATGCGTAAAAGTATTAGGATCAAGAGGAAAAAAGAATTAAGTCAATATCTTAATCCATTTGTTATCAGTTCGAAAATTGTGGTTTTGAGAAAAACACGTTTAAAGTTTTAGTTTGACTTTTTCCACTTATAACAAGTTTTAGTGCACTTACGATTATTCTGCAATAATCAGGGCCATATAATAATCCTTTCTCCTCTTCATATAATTCGTTTTCCATCATCTCTCCGAGTTGTTCTGGCTTCTCTTGATGATTCTGATGTACAACGGTTTGCGCTCAGAGGCCTCATGCGTCTTTATATATTTAGCTCATAGTTTTGTTAATATTGCGAATTAAAAAAATTCTTTTACAGATATTTTACACACATGTAAGAATCAAAATAAGGAAAAAAAAATTTTCGATTTTTTTACGTCTGCAAAAGTGAAAGGTCTTCCTTAAAGACCGACATCCGGGAGTTCGCATCCTTATTAATGTTGAAATGATTAAGAGTAAAAAACTATTCCAATAAAAATTTAAAAAATATTCCAATAAAAATTTTTTGTACATTAATATGTATATATATATATATATATATACATACATAAATATTCATAAACACATATAATCATATATGAAATATGTCCATACATAAATATCTCTTTCTTTTGTAAAATTACTTTTTAGTGTAATAGAAATAACAATAGTAAGGTCAAAACATAAAAAATAATTAAAAGGATAATTTTGTTCGTTTTAGAAAAAAACAAATTTGGAGAACTATTAAAAAAATTGCTCATACACAATTATACATAATTTTATATATGTATAATTTATACATAAGTAATTTTTTTCTAAAATAAATAATATGAAAATTACCCTTTTAATTATTTTTAATGTTTTCACGTTACTATTATTATTTCTATTACATTAAAAAGTAATTTTACAAAAGAAAGAGGGATGTATATGGACATATTTCATATATAATTATAGATGTTTATAAATATTTATGTACATATTCATGCATGAAAAATTATTTACCGAGTAATATTGTACTAATTTTATGATTTATTAGTTTTGTAGACGTGTTTATCGGTATACATTTAAAACTCATAATATTCGATTTTGTTTTAAATTGTAATTTCAGTGTTATCATCAATGTTTGATTAGTTATCAACAAAGATGATAACTGCAGAGAAAAAATTTTTCGACAATATATAGGATATTATAGCTTTACAAGTATGCACATTTATTTATGGATTATATAATAAAAAATCATGAATTTAATAATGTATTAACCAAATATTTATAATATACATATACCATATTTTATATATGTGTGTGTATATATGTATATAATAGTTATATATATATATATATATATGTACAGAATTCATATATTAAATACAATTACCATTGTATATAATAAATTGAAATCCTTTGTAAAGTGTATATAAGCACAAAAGTTAATATCAACATAGAAGTTATGTGGGTCAGTGGCAGGATGGCAGCCTCGTAGCAGAGATTCGGAGACCTGTTAAGCCTCGATTCGAATCCCAGCGGAGCAAGCTGATTTTCTCATGCTATCGGTTACGCTTTACTCAAAACTCATTATTTTAAAATATACAATGTAAATTGTTGTGAGTGCTGAACGAGTATTTTATATTCGTATATACGTTTTTACATTTCAAATTTACACCTCAAATTTACACGTCAGCACATTTTTACCATTCAAAAACTTACTGATTATACATTATTACAACTCAGATATAGCACTCTATTTTAATCACTCATTTTTAAGTTTCTGCTATCTAAAAATGTAGTTATACTCTTCAATGGAATACACATTTTCATCATTTAAACTAATAGTTTGCGCGGGCTAAAAATGGACTAAAAATGGTGAAAAATTTTTATAAGGGTATATGTATATGAACGTCCACGTATACTCGCCCCTCTTTGCTTTATCGCAGATATATTTGATTCTTATTCGGGAATAAGCATTCTCTCAAATTATTATTTTCATGAAAATTATTATTAGATCGATCTGTTTTATATAATCAATATAAGTTATAATTTTTGCATGTAGCATGATCAAAAGTACTTATACAAAAATAGTAGTATGATAAAATTGATAAAGATGCTTGATAAAGATCATGTAGATAAATTAAATTCACAATTTTAATCTGACATTTTCTTCCTCTCTTTAATAAATTCAAGGATGAAAATATACATGACGTCCCGAAATTCGTGAATTAAAATACTACAATAAGAAAGTTTTCAGAAAATTAAGTAAAAAAATTATTTATAAATTTTTATTTTAAGCAATAATGTGTGAAATAATAAGAGTTAAAAATGGCCAATTACAGGTTACATTTAGACAGACTTTTAAATGCACGTTGAAATGCACGTTTACTTAAGATTGCACGTGCGACACGTAACTGTTTAGACAGAATCTGTAATTTGCTATATTTAAACTTTTACATCTTAGAAACTATTGCTTGAAATGAAAATGTACATATAATTTTTTACTTGATTTTTAAAAATCTTGTTATTTTAATTAGCAAATTTCAGGATACTCTTTGTATATCTTACATGCACGCTAATACGAAAAAAAAGTTATTATATCGTTTTCTTAAGATAAAAATTATTGATTAAGTTATTGATTAAATTGAAATATATAAAATACTGATTTAAAATTCTAATATCTAAATATTATATATAATAAATTTATGCAGAGATCATTGCTTATTCCAATTAAATATGTTATTAAATTAATATAGTATATTTTCCTTATAAGAAATGACGATATTCAATAGAAATTGGAATAGTTGATTCGTACTTATTCTAAAAATATCTCAAGCATTGTACTAGCATATGCATGATATTCGTAGTGAAATACGTGGGACTTACACACAGGTCCAATATAAATATTATAAATAAAAACGATCTAATTATACATATCCGACCTAATTCAATTAAAAACAGCTAAACTGAAATTATAAACCTTACAGAGAGTGATGTGATTAAAAAATGTGAAACAACGAAAATGAAACTAAAAATACGTTTAAATTCATCATTAATACAAAGTGCACGTCCGCGTAAAACATTATCTAATATTATATACATTTAAATAAAAAAAATAAAATATAAACATTTTGGATCTGTGTGAACAGTTTTACGGAGTTTAAAAAAATAAACTGATCTTATTAACCCTGCCTAAACGGATTCAATTGCAATAAATTTAATCGAAAGTATTTTATGTGCGTGAAGAATTCCTTTTCTTAAACCTTACACAAATAGTATTTGCATGAAGTGGTCCTGTGCTCGTGGCTCAGTTTTCGAAAATTTGCGCTGACTGGATATGGTAAATGTTGTTGTGAATATTTAATTTTTCAGGCTTCTACGAACAGAATAGTAGACGTCGACAAATTCCCAATATAAACCGCTCATCAGAATCTGCAGAAATTGGAACTGTTTACGAAGATCCCAATAACGAAGTGAAGAATAACCAATGGCGGAGGATATTACTGCTAATTGTTGCAATTACGGTATATTTCTACACGATAATAAATAATCATGCAAAGCACACTTGTTTAGATTTGTCTTATACGATAATTATAAAATAAATAATAATATATTTGTAACATTTCGATTGTTACAAATAGGTCCACAATATTCCTGAGGGTCTTGCGGTTGGTGTAGGCTTCGGAGCAATAGGTAGTAGTGCATCAGCTACTTTTGAAAACGCAAGGTAAGTTGAAAATGTCTGCAATTTTTTAAAAATAAAGTTCACGAAGACAACGAAAACTTATACTGAATATCATGCGTAATTACAGTTTACAGTAAACAAAATGTTGGATTATATTGTAAAAATACGCAAGATATCCATATATTTATAGAAAATCTGAACAATGTCCTTAAAAATTAAGTGCAAATCTCTGATAAAATATACGTTTGACAGATATTGGTTTTTTTATCCTGGTATCGATTCAATACATTACTATTAAAGATTAATTATTGATATAATATAAAACTATAAAAATATTTTATTGCCGATAAAAATATTATATTGCCTCAGATGATTTCATATTGATTAAATTTAATTATCAATTAAAAAGTATATGTTAATTCAAAAAAAAAGATTTCAAAAAGAAAGTAATGTGCTCCTCGTTTATGCGATGACGTGATCTATTAACAATGTTTAATAAAGACTGTACTGGTATTACATACTAGTTTCGATCAATCTCCTATTTAACTTATTAAGCGAGTCAAGAGGGTTAAGGGGATGCTGACGTGACAAACTCCGGAATCGCTTTTACCGATTAAGTACGGCTTACATACGATTTACAATACAAATTTATGATTTATAAAACATTGACACATTGCTACATATTACTACATTAATATTGCACGCAACATATACAATTTGTCGAAAGAGGTAATCTTTTGTATTAAGTTTCTAAACTTAATTCCAACGAGTTGAAATTTTGAGTTTTAGGACGTACGAGGTCTGTTCAAAATGTGAACTTTATTTTTTAAAAATTGCAGGCTTTACTTACAAGCTACTAGTCTTTATCCCTTTCAAAGTAGTGTCCACCTCAACGAATACACTTATTCCAACGACGTTTCCATTGCTGGAAGCACTCCTGGAAGGACTTTTCTGGAATTGTTTTCAATTCCCTCAGCGAATTTTTTTTTATGATTTTTCAATTGTTTCAAATCGTTTTCCTTTCATGGGTGTTTTGAGTTTTGGGAAAAGGAAAAAGTCAGAAAGGGGCAAATCTGGTGAGTAGGATGGATGGGGAAATACAGTTGTGGCTGCTTCATCACGACAACGCACCAGCTCATTTTTTTTTAAGCAAAAACAGCACCCATCCTACTCACCCCTTCTGACTTTTTCTTTTTTCTGAAATTCAAAACCCAAGGAAAACAATTTGAAACAATCGAAGTCATAAAAGAAAATTCGCTGAGAGAACTGAAAGCAACTCTAGAAAAGTCCTTCCAGCAATGGAAATATCGTTGGAACAAGTGTATTCGTTAGGGTGGAGACTACTTTGAAGGAGATAAAGACCAATAACTTGTAAATAAAGCCTGCAATTTTTTAAAAATAAAGTTCATGAACAGATGTATGTAGATCGACTCTAAAAATTTATAATTAGAATATATGTAGACTCTAGAGATTTATAATATATTCTAATCTAATTGAACTTTTACGTTGAGCCTGTAAATGGCAGTTATTGCAAAAATTTCCTATTTTTAGGTTCAAAAAAAGTTTTCTAAATAAAAACTGTAAATTAAGTAATATTAAAAAAGATCCTATTTGATTGTTTAAATATCAAAATAGATTTATTATAGATTTATAAAGTTAATTGAGGTTGAAAGAGATTCAAAGTAGGACTAAAATTTCGACTCGGGGATTTTCCGTTACTTATTTATTTATTTTACAGCTGCCATTACTTTACGTACATGACATATTGCATATCTTTTTACGAAGTAAATGTTGTAAAGGTGAATTAACTTTGGTTACCATACTGCTCTGATTGCTAAGTTCAAAATTAAAAAGCAAAGCGATCGCATTTTGCCTTGCATTTCGATTATAAAGTCGTAGTTTATACAAATATCAGAATTTATTTTAATCAGTGACCAATTTTGTATAATAAAGTACAGATGTTAGATTAGAGGAATATCGGACGAATCTAAATAGCACTAATAAAAATAGTTTTATGCCATAATAATGGTTGTTCTCCAATGTGCTCTTTGTTTCTTGCTTTTTACCTTTTGCTTTTTTCCTCTTTGTGATCGTTTTATCAACGATTATATTTCTTGATATGTTCTTCTTTTTTCTGTTTCTTTTGAAGTTCGTTAACGTTTATCTCGAGCAACAGAAAACGAAAAACGGGACAAGAAGCAAAAAGGCAAGGTACAATAAATAGTAATTAAAAGCAAGAAACAGGAAACAAAAGCACATTGTAGATCAGGCTTAAGAGTCGATCCTGGTTTTTTTTCTTGTAAGAGATAAGCAACAGGTATATCGGTGAATAAGCCAAACTAATATAACCAGTATGCGCGTTAATAAGAAAGAGGACAAAACTTGTATTTACCAAAATCAATAAAATTATCTAATTACTTGTCATACTAAACGAGATATCCGATATCTATTGAATATCGTTTGAAAAAAAAAATCGAATCAAATCTTTTTTTATCTTACAGGAGATATTTTTCGATTGTCGTAAAATCTGTATTATCGACTCGAATATACCGACTGCAAGTATACTTTCTAGCATCTCGAGCGTAAGTCTGGAATTTTGCACCAGATGGCAGCATGATGTAGTTGCCCACGCGCGAAAAAGTATAGACGTAGTTCTTTACGAAAGGAAGCTGAAATTAGTGATACGAACCGTAAACTTTCTTAGTTTGTCTCATTTCAAGTCGCTATCGTTCGGTCTGTGTCCCAAAATGCTCGATCGATCGGAATCTCGGTTAGCGGGCCACATGAAGAAGAGAAAAAGGAAAGAGATCGAGGAGTTCCCGCATGATTTCTACGACTTCCCTGGTCGCCATCTTTCCCCGTCCCGCCGCTCCTCTATTAGCGTCACTAAGCAGGGCAAAGCAAGTAAGTGCAAATTTCGCGTTTGATTTCGACAATGCTCGATGACAATCTGATACGGGGGATGTATATATCATCCGCGTTTACACATTATGTCGATGCTATGCCGCGAGGAGCGATTGACGAAAGCCGGCTGATCGCGGCGTGGTAGGAGGTCCCCATGAATGAGCTCTATGGTGGTCGACCGCGGCTGCCAGTTGGAGGCGAAGTTTATTGGCTCCGGTCGGTGCTTGCTTGTGGCGCGCGGGCGTGCAGGGAGTGAAGGGCACGTGTGGCCCTGGAATCCGACGAGCCCTAGGCGCCGCGCATTCCATTCCAACGTCCCCGTCCTCCCTCCCTCTCTCTCTCTCTCCCTCCCTCCCTCTCCCTCTTTACCGCTGCGTTTACCTACCTACCCCGCACCTACGTGTTCCGCTTCTTCTTTCGCGCTGCTGTTCTCTCTCCTCGCCCCGCGCCTACTCGCTCCGACTCTCCGTCCTCCGGCCAGTGTCTTCGAACTTGCTTTCTTCTTTCGAGTCGCGATTGCTTTTCGAGAATTTCACCGCGTACGTCGCGACGATCCACGTCCCACGTCGCGTGTGACTTTATGGAATCTTCCCAAGGGAAAATTTCCAGAGACCGAGATTTACAGAGATCTCTTTTGGTAATTACAGTGGAATCCAGAATAACTGACTCCGTATTATCTGATTCCCTCGGTTACCTTCGCTCGAGCGCTCTCTCCCCCCTCCCCTCTCCTCCCCTCTACTCTCTTTGTCTTTCTCAATCAGTCTAATTCTTCCGTACATATCTAATGTATGAAAGAATTGTCACATGTTTCATTTAATTAAGATTTTAGAAAGAATAAAGTTAATTATATATAATTTAAAGATGTAATTAAAAATTAAAGTAATGTCTATATATATTTAAAATATGGTTTTTATAAAATAAAATATAATCTCTATTTTACCCAATTTTGGTTGATTCATATTAGGTCGGATTATCAAGGTTTTACAGTGCCCTTTCTCGTGGATACTCCGGATTGATAAACTTTGATGTAAGAAGCACATTTTTGATATTATTTTTATTATACTTGATATTTGATTGACACAATCTTGTGATTGATTCGAGTGCAATTAATTACGAACTTTTTGCTCCACTCAATATCAATGCATTTTCATATAGCTACTCGTTAAAATTTATTTACTATTTAAATATAATATATCAGTTTTGTAAAATGCTTATTAACTTCACTATTAAAATGCATAATCAATCTATTTTGAGGTATTAATTTCAGTTTCAGCTTGCGATTGCATTTCAAGACAAATCTTATAAATCTAAAATGCGCGGCGCGTATTTTATAAAACTGAAATATTATATATGCAAAAATTTGCATTTAATATTATTAAGTACTAAGATACGTTTTGATCGAAAGGGATTATTTCTATTAATTTATTTTCGTCGGTTTAATTTCGATTTGTAATTAATGCGGAATCTACTATATGAAAAATTTGATCCTGGTGAAATGAGTTAATTTTTATTATTACATATAATGTAATTAATAATAAACCAAATATATACATCATAAATATAAGGCTTAATATAATATGAATAAAGAATAGTTTTGTACTATGATTTATTAAAAATAAATAGAAAACATACTCCTTTGATATATTATATAGCTCTATCCATTATTGAGCTTTATGTCTATGACATCTTTTGTTTCACCATTACAAGTTACATTATGAAAATTAATCCATTCCACTGAGACCCAATTTTTCATATAATTAGTGCGGCATATAATTAGTCCTTTTGTCGGATTCAACATAATAAATGAAAAATTACGAATCAAAGAGTTACAGATATTCGGCATGTTCTTAGTTCTTAGTAACATCTTGATCGTGTAACGTAATGTTTATAGAAACGCCGCACCTTAAGCGGCTTTACGTTCTTTCTAATGAAGCTACAATCGCGCAAGATTAATCTATCGAAAGATCTGAATGCGATATTATAAGTAAGAGACCGAAGCTTATCAAGTGAACGCGCATGCACGTGGCTGTTGCACGTGCAACGCGAAGCGTTTATTTCCGATTCGCTCGGATCCCATTGTTGTTTGACGTACGAATCCGCTGTGCAATTCGCCTAGCGCCTTCTATACATGGGCATTC